AAAAAAAAAAAGGAAAAAAGCAAAGAAAGAAGGAATTTCCAACTTTAGATCCTAAGAGTCCCTCCCTCCCAAGATAGTGCCCCACTGTACATTCCTGGTAAGTAAGACACTTAGGTCAAAGGGATGATAGCTGCCAACAGCTGATACCGATGTCACTGGGGGAGCCCCAGGAAGGACGCAGGCTGCAGGAAGGGCCTGAGCCCCTGCTCCCCTCCTACCTAGGTAAGTCAGCTGCTGCTGCAGGTTGTTTGACAGCTGGGCAAACTCTTCCCTCAGGGAGTCATGTCTATCCGGCACTTGGGCTATGTGGCCCATGGAGCGCTTGACCGCCGCCTTCTTGTCCTGGGTGCTCCTCGCCTTCTTGGCAGTCTGCATGGCCTGTGACAGGGTTTTGGTGGGAGGAATGTCCTTGGTGGGGAACTGGGGAGCCAATTCTTCATAATCTACCACCAAGTCTTGTAGCTGCTTGCTCTCCTGATCCAAGGTCGTAGGTTCCGCAGCCCCGCGGGAAGACCCTGCACCCGAGACATCTGAACGGGTCCCAAAGGGCCCGGGGGCAGCCGCAATGGCGGTTTTAGTAGCCAGTTTGCTGGCAGGGGCATCGGTGATCGCCTTGGCAGCAGCCTTGGCTGTCTGGGCAGCTGAGTTGGCAGCCGCAGCGTAGTTTGCAGCCGCTGCAGCAGCAGCAGCAACAGTGGTTTTCAATTGCTCAAGGGCATCCTGGGGACCCTTCAGGTGTGCTTCCGAGGCCCGAGCCATGGGACCCTGATCCTTGGTGGCTTCACCTGGGGAAGGCCCAGCCAGAGAGTCTACCATGAGGTAAGGGTAATATTCATCCCCCTTTTCTTCCACAGCTGGGAGCTCTGGGGCCTCAAGAGTCTGGTGCAGCTGCAATGGAAGAGGCCACGATGATCCCAACTCTGTGGCTGGGGGTGGGGCCCTGGGGGGCTGCTGGGAGTCTGATGGACCTGGGCCAGGCTGGAAAAAGTCAAACAAAGGCCAAGTGCCAGCTCCAGGCCTGCCTCCTGGTGGTATGGGCCAAGCTCCTGGGGCAGGTTGAGGTCTGGGTCCAAATACAGGCAAAACTGCTGGCATGAACCCAGGTGTCACATCAGGCCCCACTGCAGGCATGGTTTCAGGCTCCAGCCCTGGCCCAGGCCCACGACCAGTCCCAGATTCAGGCCTAGAAGCAGGCCCAGTCCCAGGCCAAGGCCCAGGAGCAGGCCAAGGTCC